ATTTTCCAAAGTATAATAAGCACCTTCATGCTTTGGTTGCGCTCAACTCCTCTAACTGCTCCAAATAATACTACTTTTAATCATCTCCTCCCTAAAAAGGTTTTCTCTCCAATCTACAACCAGCTTGCTTTATTAATTCTTCCATATTCAGGGTAGATATTAGCATATCTAAATGGCATTAGATAGCTTATAGAACTTTGTCTCAGAAATAGGTAGCAAAACAACATTCATTTAGTTTGTACTTCAGTTGACAATAGAAGGTGTAAATGAAACTAGAAAACAGTCCAAGGTAGATCATGGTGTTTTGGCTCATAAACATGTTCATTAGATAAAGAAGGAATTTGGGAGGGAAGAATTTGTTTTGTAATCAGGAAAACAAAAACCAATTTATCAATTTGAATTGAAAAGTAGGTAAACATTCCAGTATGTACTCATCTTCACTCAAATATAAAAGGAAACTGATCACTACCTCCACCACCACAACCATGTGTTCTATGTGTACAAGGTTAGATCAAAGTGGTAGCTAAGAATATTACATTCTGCAGTTGTTCAAGGATGACAGTTGAGAAAGTTTGATGACAGGATAAAAATAACACTTGTTTGGGTATAAATGGCTTCTTTTTCAATGAACTATGTGAATGTTCCTCATCTTATCCACACCACCAAAAACCTAAGAAAATAATTTTTCAACATTAACAAGTTCACTATTGCATCAAATAATGCTTATTTTCATTTTCTGAAATAAAAAAATAGCTATGTTGTAAACATGATAATAAATTGAAGGAATAATACAATCAGTAACTATTGGACATAATTCAATTCCTAGTTTTACCACATAGTAAATAATATATATAACCTCTGTTCAAGTAGTTTTTCCACAACTGTAAAACAAAGCCTTTAACAAGTTAGTTAAAAGCAATTTAGAGGCAGATGTAGCAGAAATGATTACAATTTGAATGTGCTTTGTTGACAAAGATACTATGGTCTATTTTTTTTTATTATTATTTAAAAGAAATCTTTAGCTTCCAGCTTGATAGTTATAAAGAGAAGAGGGCACCTTAAAGTTTCCTCTGGAGGGTATTATCACTTCACTCCAATACCAACAGTTGGGAAGAAACACATGTGCTCTATCATAATTTGACCTTTATACTTCGAGTCAAGAGAATTCTGAGCAAGGTCAATTTTCCTATCCAGTGTGCACTTTGCATAGATGTAAAATTTTTTTCACAGAAAATTTATTCTGTGAATTTCATTTATGTTTGAATGAAACATGTTTATTTTCATGTTGATGACTCTGCAAGAAAACAAGGCCAAGAGAGGCATTTCTTCAAAGGCTAAAAGTGATGCCGGATGGGGTGCGGCACAAAACTCATGGATTCTTTGACTCAAACCTAAAATGAATTTTAGAGTGGCCAGCAAAGTTTAAAAACAAAGTTTGTTAGAGAAAGAAGAGGAGAAAGATAGACATGCCAGAGTTGGCATGGGTGAGAGAAACCCACACTTTTTGCTTTTTACAATAGGTCTGGAGCCCAGGTATCGACATCCCTCCGCCTTTTCCAGGGTGGTCTTTTCCAGGGAACCTTGCCAGACCTTTTCAATTAACAAGTTCATGAGCTAAAAGTGGGTCTTATCGTTGTTTTTATGGCTTTTTGATTCTGGGAACCACCTTGATAAAGTTTTCCTTTGGCGAGCAGAGAGGGTGGGGTGAACTGGGAGTCCATATTAAACTCACAACGCAGCCCGAAGGGCCGCTTAGCCTGCTGACAGGATGTCTGGATGCTTTCTAAAACCCGCCTACAAGAAATTTATCTATCTATGCCTAAACTGCACTAGCTCTACCCTGCCTCAAAAGGGGGCATTGCCACCACCACCACTACTTGCCAGGGGATTTATAAAGCATCTTGAGGTCAAGGTTAGTTTGGGAGATAATCCAAGCTCAGGAGAAGTTAACACAGAGAAAAAGGTTAGTGTTTCCCTCATTTTTAGCCAACCTGTACAACAAAATACTTAGTAACCTCTAACGGTCAGGTAAAAATGTCTTTTTGCAATGGTCATATCTGGATTTGTCTATTTTCTTGATGCCCGTGAGGTTTGGAATTGGAACTAAAAATCCTTGGGGGAAAAGCTATTTTTATAGTTCAGCTGGGGTGTCCTTGTCTTTGGATTTCCCATTGCATCAATCCCTTAGGCTGGCACGATAGCCATGATAGTGCTTGTCTTTTAGATGAAATGCAGAACTAAGGACATGACTACTGGTGCTTATTAAAGATTCCTTGCTATTTTCACAAGAGTAGGGGCGTTAGACTCTTGTCTACTGGCCAAATTCTAAATCGGGAGCTTACATTCTGCTTTCCTAAATTCCCCTAGCAGAAGCAGCCATCCATGGTATCCTACTTTGCTTCCTGTGCTAAACTGTTGTGTGATGTCATTAAATGGCTCTGGTTTTCTCTACTCTAGAAATGATTACTTTAGTGGGGTGGGGAGTAAATAGGTACCTACTGTCTGATATTGTATTCAATTCAGTTTCAAAAAAATTAAAAGGTATGTTGTGATAGTTAAGGATAAAGTACAAAACATCCTAACAGCGTACCAGTTGTTGTAAAGCTTTTTAAAAAAAAAACAATCTGCTTTCTCTTCTGCAACATAGACAAAAATGTTAGTGCATTTTTTTGTATTCCACTAGTAGTTGACAATGAATTGTTATTTGCCTCAAACATAAGGTTAGTTCTAATGGTGATGAGGTTTGAGAGGATGAAATCACATAACACACATCAATTAAACTATATTGTTTGTCTTTAGGCTGCACGCAACTATCCCAGACGTTGATCTACCTCATAAAATCATTTTGGAAGGAGATTCTTTGTCTTTCCTTGGTAACATTATTACTTCAGTGTCTCTCAATCTATCCACAAAAAATAAGTTCTGATTTCTGTTTAACCTTGGTTCCACTTGCTGTAGTTTCATGTCACTATCTTTTGTCCATCACTAACCTTGTTATCATATATTGCTACTGAGAGGCAGTACAGCATAATGTCATAGTTTTGGGAATCAGACTTGCCTACATTCCAATCCTGGTGTCACTTTTTGGTGTGTGATATTGGACAAGTTGCTCCTGAGGTTCAATAGCCTCATCTGTAAATGAGTAACCTCAGAGCATTGCTGTGGAGATCAAATGAGACAATATATTATTTTGAAAGATTATAGGGTAAGACGAGACACAGTACTGGGCACCTAAAAAGTGTTCAATACATAGTAGCTATTTACCAGATTATGTACATATATCTGACTTACTTCATGAACTCTGAGAGTGAGAAGCATACTTCCTGTGCAAGCCTTGGATTTAACAGAAGTAGAGTTGTGCACATAGTTTGGCACAGAGGCTCAATATTTACTACATGAATAAACTTCTTTTTGTTTTTGTTTTCTCTGAGTGGAATGAACAGCTCCCAGCAATTTGCAAAATCCCACACATTTAGATCAAAGGTGACAAAAATCAATCTGCAGTTCCCAAATATGCAGATACCTGACTTTGTCTAGATGTTTTGGCATGGTGTAGACACAATGCAAATAACTTATACTTTCTATCAGGTTCAGTTCTATTGATTATTGTCATTTTTAAAATTAGGCAGCATCTTAGGTGCCTAGAATGGGATTGCCTTAATCATACACTTCCTCATCCACCTAAGCATTTTTAAATCGAGAAAATTAAAAATGAATATTAAGAACTATTTGATTATATACTTGAACAAAGTCTTTCAACTTGTACTAAGTAGTACATTACCTGTCCTATTTACTTATAAGATCTGTGCACTACAGATATATTTCTCATTGCTTTGTTCCCAAGCCAACACACACACACACACACACACACACACACACACACACACACACACACCCCAAAATCCCAAAAAACCCGCTGCAAGTCCCAACGCATAATTAACATCTTTGAGCCGGTGGAGTGTTGGTTAGGGCTTTATTTTTGGCTTTTAAATGCTTTCTTGGGGCTATAAGATGAAGTTGAGGGAACAGCTAGCTACAAGTTATGTGAATTTAATCGGGCTTGAAAATTTGTCTATAAAGAAAGAGTACTGACTTTTTACCATAATCTCGGAAAACTGCTGGTGTGTGATTAGGTTGGTATTAAAGGCACCACATTGTGGCCTTTCCCCCAACTGCTTTGTACAAACTTTACAGGAGTGGTCTCAGGTGTGGAGCTCTAAGCACCTGCTTGCTCACACTCCAACAGTTCAGAAACCAGTGTATTTGAGGCCAAGTGGCTCAGGTTTCACTTAACTGGGCTCAAGTGACACTAACACTACGTGCAGCGGGGGTGACCGAGCTGTGCTTTGGGACTTGGATGCTTACTCCGGACTTTCTCCTTTCTTTTCTCCCTTTCCCTCCTCCCACCCCGGGCGTGCCCACTGCCTCTCTTTGCTCCCACTGTTCACTGTCACACTCTTGTTTTCTTCACCGTCCTTTCTAATCGCTTCTTGTCTTCCATCCTCTGCCGGCCGCAGGGTTTGGGGCTGGAGCTGGGCTGGGGCTGGGGCTCTGAAGAGGCTCGAGTTGCGCGGGATAGGTGCAAGGCGAACAGCC